ATTCTTTTAGAACACCACTATATTAAAAGTTACATCATTAAATAAACAGTTCCCATGGCCCCACCTAACCAATGCTTCCCACTGAAAAATTCTGCTTTTATTGTTTTGTTTTTGAAGGCAAGTATTTCACTATTAGCTCCTTGGTTTCTCCTTGGTTTATCCTTATTTTTGAGAAAAGTTGTTTTGAGTAATCAGATTAATAACGTTGCAACTCTAACTTAAATTTTCATGGAAAATGATTTACATGCTTCCATTGTTGAAGACTAATGGAAGATACGAACCAATCCCTCTTTCAGAGCTGCAGAATCTCACTAGAACTTGATTGTGTATCAATATATGTTTATGCAAAACTTAATGCAAATGTATCTTTGCCTTAAAGGCAATAATCTGTTCCCCACACACATACTTTTCTGTTACCGAATACCTCCCCTTACAAATAATTGCAGTAATTTATTTTTATTAAAATGTTCTGGACAACTGAGGCCATCTTTAACCAGAAAAATTTGCCATTACATTTGCCACATACAAATGCTGCAAAGGTAAATACCGTTCAGCTTTCCAAATTGCTACTAAATGCTCTGTAAAGTCCACCGCTTTGAGCAATGTATTTCTGTAACCTCCATGACCTTTACACGAAAGAAAGTAAACTGTTCCTGCAGGAGATAAAACTGGGAATTCTATACAGGTTTCTCCTTACTTCGAGGGTCTCCATCCAGTCAGCATCCATGAAAATCTCATTATTTATGATTTCTCCTTCAAGGAAGGACCTTTCTGAAAATGTAAGAACATCCTGAAGTACTGTTTTAGAGGAAAAACAACAAATAGAATATTCAAGATCAGTAAAGTAGCTTTATGCACAAAACTCACACTGATTTAATTAGGTTACAACCCAAGGAAATTCCTGTGTTGGGGAAGAACCCCACAACAACACAAGCACTGCTGACAGCCAATGTGCAATAGCCAATTTTTTGAAAAGAACAGATCCACCAGAAGTAGTGGCATGGAAAATAAAATACGGGAAATCCTTTCTTAAGGGAAAATTAAAGAACTGACAGACAGATGTAAAGCTGAATCTAGCTGACTTTCATGATGCATGGTTTTAATTTTTTTTTCAGAATGTGAACAAAATACACGTGTAGTAGAAAACATTGACTGAATACAAATTACATTTTTAGAGGTAGCAAAAGCAATTTTTTTAAAAATTAGATGCTTAAGTTTAAATTTCCCATAAGCTACAAATGGTCTAGCCCAAACTTTCAAGATGCCACATAGTTTTTGGCTTTCTCACTAATCCTTGTATTTTTTCTGCTCATCAGGCCATGGTTTTCCTTCTACCTCCTTGTTTGAGACACACCTCACAGAACTAACATGTAGGTAGCAGCCAACATCCTTCCATGTGGATTTATACCAGTCACTCTTGACATAAATGAGCAAAAAGACATTCAGTTGTCCACCATCATTCCTTCTTCCTTTTTCTGTTCCTTTGGCCTGCCTTCCCACATGCCTCTTCTCCTTTAAAGGTCTCTTCCAACCCAAACTATTCTATGATTCTGCGAAACTTCTCCTTCAATCTGTCCTTACTGTATCATCAGCCACTTGTTGGAACTCCATCATATCATGAAAGTTGACAACCAAAATGGGACAGACTCAAGCTATCACTCAGTTAGTGCTCTGCCTCTCAATGAAGCATGAGGGCAAAGGGGGAAATGAAGACGAGCCCAGCAGGCAGCCATGTGGAAGGATTAGCTTCAAGCGCTGCCCACCTGCAGGTTTCCCACACAATACCCAAGAGACTGCTTAGCGCCTGAGCTCTGCATCTGTACAGCACATCCTAACAACAGCTCCCTCCTTTAAAAGGTTGTTTTGCACCTGAGAGTAGCAGCTTTCATGACAAAAAGCACTAAACGCTTGATAAAGGTCAACATTGCTGTGCCCATGGTGAAATGAGCTATTTGCATGACCTTCCTCCAAAGCACCATCAACATGGAGCTGTCTGACTTCTTGGGGTTTTGCAGGACAGCTCACCTAGGCATCATATATTAACCTCCAGCACTACTGCATGAGCATTACCTTTCCCTGAGCTCCACAAACAAGACAAGAGTACGTGTCTGACTGTGCAGCACACACACACCTCTGAACACATTCCTGGGGCCTGCAACCCAACCCAACCCTTTTTTCCCAGCGGGAAACAAGGCCATCACAGGCAGAGAAGGGACTCACATCAGCAGAGCTCTGCTGAGCAACCTTGTATGAGGAGCACTGTCCCATGGACTATAACTTCTAAATTTTGTCCATAGGTGGCTCAAGCTGTCCTCCCCTCCACATGCACTGAGCAAATCCCAGCTGCCACCCTGCAACAGTACCACCACTCAGGCTTTCCTCTTCAAAGCGCTTCCCAAATGTTCACCCACTGATCCTGCCAGCACTTCTGAGAAGCAGACACCTCTGTTATCCCCAAATTACTGGCTGGGAAGCCAAGGGAGGGAGCTGGAGACTGAATATTCAAGGGGACCATGAGGCTTCAAGGGCAGCATTCAGCTGCCCTAAATTCCCAGGTTCCTGTACCTAGACACCAATGGCCCTGGAGGTTTCTGAAGGGCAGCTGAGGAGGATTGAGCAGAGGGCAGGGCAGCCACAGGCACTTTGGTGAAATTAAGCATCAACACAGTACTCAAATGTCCAATTCCCACCCTGCTTTTGGCCATCCCTTAGGCTCCTTTGGAAATCCCAGTGCTGGAGATGTCCTCACAGGGATGCAAGGACCAAACTTCTGAAGGAGAAGCCCCCAGTCTCAGCCTTGTGCTCAGGATCACGCAGCCATCCTCTCTCTGCTCTGTCACACTGCAAAAAAGAAACAGAGCCCAGACCTCCACAGGACAGACACAATAACACACTGAGATCAACCAACCAGGTGAGCACACCTGTATGAACTCATACCAGTAAATACAGGTTGGACATCTTCAGGATTTTAACCAAAGCAAGAATATGAAAACTCATTCCATGGCCTGAACAATTCGCCTATACTGGCCAAAACAGGTGAACTACACATTTATTTGCTGAGCAGGAACACAGGTTCTCTTTCTTCTTTCTGTTTAACACTCTCAACCAGACAGACCTTGGGCAAAGTGACCTAAATTAGAAGTTAGTCTTGCCTCCAGCCAGGTGTTGGACTAGATGCTCTCCAGCAGTCTGCTCCAGTCCCAATTCTTCTCTGACTCTCTCCACCACAGCACTGGGATGCTTTTGGCACCTGTGATTTGCAAGGCTCAGAATGCAATGCTACAAACCATGCATTTGTCCACAGCCCAGTCCTCCCTTCATGCTACTTTCTGGTCTTCAGTTGCTAAGCACATGCTCCCCTTAAGATGCTATAAGGGACAGCTCGTTCAAGTGACTCTGCACTGAGGGATCCACATCTGAAGGCAATCCAACCCTTCTGAAGGTTGTCTTAAACCACCATTAGGTGAAAACCTAGTAAAATGATGTATTTTGGAGAAGAAAAGCAACACGCCACAAACCCAGGGAGCTGGAGTAGCTTCAGGCAACACGGCTCACAAGCAGACAACAGACTGAAGCTAGATACAGCTAGAAGGCAGGCAAAAGGAGCCAGTGCAGAGAAGGGCTCAGGAGAAGGACAACAAGGAGACAAAAGGAGAGAGAAGAGAATGAAGAAGCAGCAGAGAGATTGAGGATTTTCCTCGGTCACTAAACAGAATAAGCTGGACTGTTAACTGGTGCAAACTGGTCAGACTTGTCTCCATCTGCAGAGCTGGCTGTGCTGGGGACGCCTGAAACACAGCCGTTGGTGATGTGGCTCTAGGACTGAAAGCCATTGGAGCAACTGGTTTTTTGCCAGGACGCACACCCAGATGCTGACAATGCTGACTGTGGAACATCAGGTACAATTTTTTCCCTGTTCTTATTTAAAGTTTTTCTACAAGTATTTAAAGCTCCTGCACTCAGCATTCAGAAGTCTCAGTGACGAGCATGATACACAAGTTTTTATAGCAAAGAAAAAAAAACCCAACAAACTAGATTGATGATCTTCTCTGGTCTAACCTTTCCCTCGGGCTGCACACGTGAGGCTAGAAGATCTACTGCAACAAGTTTTCTCTAGTCCTGCACTAGTTTAGTATTTCCAAGCAGTCTCTGTGCCTAGTGACGTGCAGAGTACTTGTCTTCTCATACCGCACATAACACGGCAGGCAGCCGCTCCTTAAAACAGTGTACTTAAATACAGCTGATGTGGAACAATTACTATCCTGTAAAACGTTATAATGGAAGAACTACCAGAGCCTTTTAGTACAATTCCAGAAGTGATACAGCTCCTCTTGCCTTCATACACTAATTGCACTGAAATTGCATCCAATGAGTCCATGCATATTTAATCCGGTTTGGGGCTGCTGAACACACTGCTATTGCATGGGGTGCTATCAGCCAGAACCATAAATTATTAACTTCGCTAACTAAAATTCTGCTGGATAATTTTAGGTTGGCGGTGCGTTGTTTGACTGAGGCAAAGATTGCTTTGTGTGTCCCTTTATCATTAGTATTCTTCCTGGGTTTCCTATGGCACTGAAGTGCTGGGAAGGGTCACCGCTCAGTTCGAGACGAGGCCTCCAGGGAGGATGAGGTGCCTCAGACAGACTGTATTATATGCCATCGCTGAGTATTTTCCTAAACAAAGCACCTCCTCTTGGGTCATGTCTAATCTCATCACTAATTATACCCCTTTGTTAAGGCCAAAGAACATATCTGGTAGTCATCTTTATTAGGCAAAAATTAATAAATACACATGATCCTGCTTTTCAGCCTTCCAAGTAACATGTAAAGCACAGCGAAGTACTAAGAAAAAACAAGGGGAACGGATTTAGAAGCTAGGACAGCCCTCCCATCCAGTAAACAAACCCATGCCTTCACAAGGCTTTGCTCATTAAATAAAACGAGGTTCTGACAGCTCCGCTTTGCTCCGGGTACTCTCCACCGAGCTCACAACCCACAGCCTGCGGCAGGCATGTGCAGCTGAGCACGCCGGCTTCGTCCCCACTGCGGCAGGCACTGCCGGGCTCCATCGCCACCTCTGCCGCCAGCCTCCCCCGCCATCGCACCCTGTTTGCTCCCGTCCCTCTCACTGCCATCCCACCAAACGGCACCCAACTTCTGCAGGCACCTGGCGGGCACACGCAAGCGGGGTGCCGGCGCTGGCTGCCGGCGGGGGTACAGCGGAGCTGCCACAGGCTGCTTCTGCGGAGCTGGGCTGCGATCGCCTCCCGTTCACACTTTGCTCTGCGGGGAGCATAGCGGATCTCTGCTGATGCTCACAAGAGTTATTATAAAACATACATATATCAGATACATAACAAGTGGCCACATGTGGGTATAGGAGGGGTGCTACCCAGAAGTGATGAGGACCAGAGCTGTCAAGCTCCTCTTCTCAGCTCTCCCACACTTTTCATTAGGGACAGTGGGGTTAAAGCCATCAATTCATTTGCTAAATTCCTTTTTTCCCCAACATCAAGATTTATTCCAGGCTGCCAGACCGCAACTATTTTGAGATTCTCAAAATAAATGCACTGTAGAGGTACGAACTATCTCTATCCAACATTAATTATTATTAACGCTAATTACTCACTAACATGAAACACTCTCCACGGAAGATGCAAAACATGTATCTTTAGCCGTCGGCCTGCACAACAGCTGGTGGAGCTGAGCGCGGCAGGCATCTGCTTACCAGGGGTTTCTCCTGACAGGCAGGCAGCCTTGCAGCAAGGGTCTCACACCTAGCATTACAAATCAGTAGACCTTGGGGAGAAAAATGGAAATTTTGAACCAAGGAACAAAGCCCAGATTGTATGCAGACCAATGTTTGCTAAGGTGCCATTTACTGAGCAAAGCTGTATGTATCACCTTATAGTTGCTGTACCTCCCTTTGAACAGGCACTCTTTAAAAAAAAAAAAAAACAAACAAACCACGACACTCAATGTTATCAGCACTGTTAAGTACCATATAAAAGATAAAAGCAGTGCCCAACCTACTGCTCCGTGAACTGAGCTCAGTGGAAGTCCCATGGAACTCGGCACCCTGGACCGTAATCCCCCATGTGCATTCGCATCACAAGGTTTACATGTTGTTTGTGCCCAAATTCAAGAAAACCAGTAAAAGGAACCACCTTAGCTCAGCTAATGCAAATCTCCTGGCCTGGGCAGCCCTCAGACAGAGCTTGGTCAAAGGGTCAAAGGGTGCTGGCAGAGCAGTTTGGGTGCACGAAGGGGCAGCAGGCTGAGTGCCAAGCACCCCGAGCTAGGGGACAACTCGGGGACAGCGCCAGCGGCTGGGGCAAACAGGGCTTCCAGCTGTATTTGGCAAGGAGGGAGGTTTCTTGGAGGACAGGGGCAGTCCAGGGACACGACAGCTGCCCCCCGTGCAGCACATGGTGGCCACAGAGCCCCAGGGCTGCCCAGGGGACAGGGCAGAGGAAGGAAGGGTGACACGGGGTGTGGAAGGATGCCCCAGCGGCACTGTACCCTGGCCGAGAGCAGCACAGCAGGCTCCCAGGGGAAGAGGGTACATTCCCTTCTCCTGGCCCTCTCTGCAGCAATTTGGGGTGCAAACAAGGTCTGATGGGGTGTTAGAAGAAAAGGCACTGAAGGAAGAGACACCAAGCAGCAGACTGACACCATCCTGAAGCTTGCACAGATGAAGACCACCACGGCCGGCTGCAATGTTTCTCTAGCTGCTTCCTGCATCTAGGTTGTCACCCCACTTTAAGCTAAGTTGCAGCATGGCCAAACATGCTCAACAACCGCTCTGAAATAAATGGATGTCCCTACCATGGGATCCGGTGACAGCCCTGTGTCCTTGTGGGCAGCTGCTGCTCATGCTTTCCTGCGTGTGCAGCGCCAACAGCCACACGTCCCTTACTACCCACGCGCCGTGACAAAAGAGCATGTATGCTCAAGTACTGCTGCGCTACAGGTTCAATTTTGCGAGGTTATCACCAAGCACAGAGTGGGCTAGTGCCATATTTTGCAGTTAGATAAAATACATTCACAAACTCCCAGACAAAACAAAAATCGGCATTTTTGGAAGAAGAAAGCGAGGAGGCTGAAGGGCAAAGGGCAGGCAGGAGCTGCCAGAGAAGAGGAGCAATGGGAAGGTGTTTAATTGGAGGCACAGGGAGGACCAACGGAGGGCTCCGTGAGAAAGCCAAGAGGGGTCATCACGGCAGAAAACGCAACGCCAAGAGAATACAGTAGCTGAAGACCCACGCCGTACAGGTTCGGCTCCTGATACTGAAACACAGCACATGTTCAAGTCACTCTTGGACAGGGGAAGGGGAGAGTTTGAGACAACCACAAGTAAGGAGAAGTGCGAAAAGTGAGCTGAAGTGATAGAGGTACAACTGTTTTAATTTTCAAATACCACTGCGCAATTGAGAGCCTCCCATTTGGGGCATGTGGTGAGAAGCCACCCCAAGTCCGCTCATGTGGTTCATGAGGTCACCAGAAGTCCCAACACAATTACATCCTTCTTTCAGAGCTACTTATTACTGTAACACACCACATCATCTTTTCTCCTGGCTCCAAAGTACAAGTATTTTAAAAGGCCTACAGCCATGCTGCTAACACAGAGACCAGTTTCTGCCCTGACATGCATCTCTGCTCTTACACGGATTTCTCTGGAGTACCATGGCATAGAATTGGTGATGATTTACCTCACAGCATTACACTTTTATATAGAGGCTGTCCTCTTTCCATTTTTTAAGAGAAAGGTCTGCTGCTTCAGTAGCCAAAGGCTAAGCCAGATAAAGGTAACGTCTTAAGATCTGAATTACAGATATTAGACAGATAGAACATTAGGTACCCAGGGGAGGGACCAAGAAAGACCCTCATGTTCGCATGAGAGCAGCAGTCAGGATCCAACCAAAAGCCTTTGCAATAGAAAAAAGGAGGCAAGGATGAACACTTGGCTCATAGCATGACTACTGTCTTAAAGGGAAGAGTTAAAAAAACACATAACAAGCTCACCCTGCAAAAACCTTACCCTGAGGTTTTACTCAGGCAAATGCCTATTGATTTCATCTTCAGTGCAAACTTCATGATCTGGACGAAAGACAGCTTATGAAGAGATTACAAGGCTTGATTTGAGAGTGTATCAATGACAGCATGGGTTGAGCTTCCTTAGTTTAGGGGAACAGGAGTAAGCCTACCCTCACACAAGACTAAAAGGCTGAAACCCAAAACTCTGTATAGGAAAATGTGCTGCAACTGGAAAGGATAGGGAAAAAAGTGGATAAATCATTTACAGTTATTTGGGATATGTGTAACTATTTCCCACTACTGCCAAAGGGCTGTGAAACCACGGGAGGGGGAAACCAACTGGATAAGTGGAGCAAAACCATGCTCATAAGAGCACACGAGTACGTGGTAGAAGCTGCAGCAGAATGACACATCTCCTAAGTTGCTGCTGCTTTTTCCAATAGGTATTTACCTCTAAGCACAATACAATGATATTTTGGTTCCCCAAAAAGAGTAAGGGGGAGGATGTGGGTGCAGAGAGGTAGATTTCTTTATTATGGCTGAGAAGCAGAACAGAGGGAGGTTAGATTAGCAGTGACAACATAAAATGCTGCACTAACATATACAAATACCTCCTTTTTAAAAAAAATTATGTGCTTTGCTCATGGCCACAAAAAGCACTGCACTCAGCATATTTATGGTCTGTGTGTTAGTTTTCCGCTTTAAGATCATTGGCAGTGCCTTCCAGGGCTCTGAAAACTTAAAACTCTCACTAGAACCCAGCTTCTGCTGATTTATGTTTGCATCATCTAACCTCTGTGAACCTACCCTGGTATCAATGACTAAACTGTTCTGAAATAGGATTACATCCTTTCTAGCAGGAGCAATGTGTGTAAATATTGGACTTAAGTTTCCAGAGCAGTCCAGCCAGATAAACTAACACTGCATTTGAATGGTTGGAACTGAAAATAACATGCAATTTTTTTTAATAATGTATAACATTTACTGTCACAATTTGATAAATTTATGCAAATATATGTGTTTCCATACACAATTCTACACATGCATGTTTATTTACTGTATCTTTATGTAAAAACGTTAGGGATACTTATGTCTACCCATACCTCCATTTTTAGAACCCTTGTAATGCCCACAGTCACCTCATACAAAAGCCAACTTGTCCCAAATGAAAAAAAAAAAAAAAAAGAAAATCATATCATAACAAGCTCATCTTTCAGTGTAAAAAAAATTTGTTTGTAGTCAGATTTCAAGCATGTCAGCCTGTTGAATGTAAACCTGTATAAAATTCATTTTTTGGAAATAAAAGTGTTATCTAGCTCTTGTAATAGTTCTCAATCTAACAGTTGTCCTTGGTTCTGCAAAGAGGAACAGTTTGCCCATGGCCGCAGCACACTCCTCGGAGATTAGACCTCCGGGGTTCATCTGATTCCCTGCCTGACTTTTGTCAAACCACGTCCCCTCTGTGTGCCCATCACAAAACACTTCACTGGCCCACAGGACTTGCTTGCAGACTGCAGTATGGCACATACTCTCAACTCTTCAGACCTGGGTAATTCTCTGTTGACCTCTAATTGACTTTTCCAGTGAGGCATGGCTGCACTTATCTCTGGAGCCATCACATTTCACATCAGGATGGAGAGAGCAGTTGGTTGCGTACCTTCCACTCTTGCGCTATTTTGGTAACCTTGCTGGGACACTTATCTATCAAGTGGAGAAGGCACTATATATGGGAGCATCTACCAATGCATTCAAGTCTTCCAGCCCATAAGAAGCAGTCCGATCCCCACCCCACGGCATCAGCAGCCAGTAAATGTAACTCCTGTTACAACAGCTGACAGACTAAAGCAGAAGTAACAGCACACCAGGCAATGGGATCCCCGGCAGGTGCTTTCCTCCGCCAGTTGTTGCACGAAGGGCAGGAATGTTTCGCCAGCCCCGGTCCACTGCTGGTGAGAAAATATCTCCCATCACCCTCAAGAATGAAGCACGCAAGCACGGCTTTGGATGTCAAGCTGAAATAGTTCATTCCAGCATGGGGTATTAGGTCCCATCCCTCTCTGCAT